TGGGAACGAGTGAGCAGTGCGGGATGCGAGGATAGATCATTACAGTATGAGGAGAATGGCGTTTCGAGGAGTTACCAGGGGCTTGGCTGACGCTCAACACTCAGGGGAAGGATGAGACGGATTATCAATTAGACGGCTACTGGTGCCATCGGAACTGGAACTCTTCGCTTGCTGCTGAAGTAGGTACGGAGCACTTATGGGAGTAACCCGAGTGCCGTGATGTCGATTCTTAATTTACATTTTTTTTTTAATTCAACAGGTGCTTTGAGTAAACAGAAGGAAAAGGCTGCATAAGCATTGCTCTGAGAACTGGTTTTAGTAATGAAGAAAGACCAACAACAACAAAAACAACAACAACAACAACAACAACAACAACAAACAACAACAACAACAACAACAACAACAAAACACACACACAGTTGGAAAACTTACTTAACTAAAGAAGACATTTCTAAAACGATGACTGAAAGGAAGAGCTGAGTCAGGCAAAAAATGTGTAGACTGCGATACAAGTGGGAAAATAAACATTAGGAGATGTTAATAATATAGCTCTCCACTTAGAGAAAATGTGACGAGATTTCAAATTATTCAAGGCATAAATGCGAAAGAGGACAGGGTCGCAGAACACGAGGAAGAAACAAAAAAAAATGTACAAATCAAACCAGATGCATTCTATACCAGTATCAAGTGTTAATGAACGACTCGAAAAGGTGCAAAATGAAGCCATGCGTATTGTTTTGGGACGTACAAGAGACACATCCTGTGGAGCAATGAGGTATCTACTTGACTTTCCAACAATGAACCAAAGGATCAGGATGTGGAGGGCTCGGGCATACCTCAAAATATGTGCTGATAAGAAACACCCACTGCATCAAGCGCTTTTTAGTGAAAAGGGCGACAGACTGAAGAGGGGAAAATCGTGGCTAGGTCGGGCAGAAGATGTTATTAGGCAAATATGCAGCCTAACCGACATCATACCTGGTGCAGAATGGATACCTGTGCCTCAGGCGTTTATTTGTACAGTTTCCTGTATTGTCACACTCAACAGGCGATGTAGAGAAGAGAATCCTGTTGCTGTTAATGCAGAGGTCAACGCTCTCATCGGTGAAAATTCAGACGAAGCAGATGCACTAATCTATACAGACGGATCCGTTATACGCCAAAGAAGAAGCGCATGGGCATTTACAGCACGCTCAGCGGGCAGAACAGTCAAAGAAGCCAACGGCGCCTTCTCCATGACAACCAGCTGCATGACGATGGAGGTGATGGCAGTGACGCAAGCGTTTGCCTGGCTTGAAACACAAAAATACACCCGCATATATATACTCAGTGATTCAATGAGTATGATCCGGAGGGTTCGGGCAGGTTCAATGCGAATAAAATGGCTTGAATCAATTCAGAAGTCCACTGTGCGAGGAGTCACCTTTATTTTTGTTCTGGGGCACGCAGGCGTCGATGGAAATGAAAGAGCTGACAGGTTGGCTGGATCCGCTATCACTACCGACGGTCGGCCTATGGATCATGCTGATATTATCAATGCCCTCAGAGAAATGGGAAGGATAGAGGACTTTGGTGGCAATGAATCCACATCACTCGCCAGAATGGCAGACTTGGAAATTAAGATCGGCACAGCAAAAAACGAGACGCACACCGGACACGTCAGAAGACTTGTTAATCAACACTGAACTGGTACTATTAGCCATCGGACGTTGGGGTTCATACTGAGGGGAGGATCTGAGCACCTATGGACATGTCCGGAGTGCAATGATGATAACCCAACTAACTAACTAACTAACTAACTAAGTGTTAATGATAGAAGCGGTTGTCAGAACGAGATCCAGAATCTATCGCACCAGACGCTCAAAGCGGTAAAAGCGAAACTGGTCTCTAGGACATCCGCTTACATTCATTTATTGGGAACATTAGGAGGTGTGGCAGCCTGCCGAGCTGACCCACAACCTCCCCTCGATAAATTGGAATGTGATGTTTGCTATAGTGCAAAATTACGGTTAAATCTTGTCATTTATACCGGAAATTATGCTTAATCGTTTGTACAATGCGTTGCGGAAAGATGTCCAGTATTTACGTGTTTTGGATATTTTGTGGACAGACCCCTAACCTGTTACTTGCCTTTGCGTTGGTTTGATAAATAAAAATTCGTATGACATTCACGTTGAAAAGCAGGCTGACAACTCCATAGAGTAAAGTATTCATAATTTAGCGTGTTACTTCCCTTAGGAATATATCAAGGGAGATAGACGTAGAAAGGAAATGCGCAGAAACGAAGGCTCGGTGTCACAAGGTCCGAACAGTTCTCCAACAGTGGTTTTTTCTCTTTTTTTTTTTTTCCAGTTTTAAAATTGGTTACAATTGCAGTCTGAAAGATTGACGCCATGTGATTCAACTTTCATATCATCATCATCATCATCAGGTGATCATGCCTCTCCACAATCCGCGATTTCCTGCAGCATGTATCAGTTCGTGTGCTGACACAGTTCCATGCCATGCAAAAAGACTGTCAAGAATCTTCTCTCGTTGTCTTCCTCTTTCCCTCCTTCTACAGATCTTTCCAATGGTCACAACATGTTCCATTTTCCCTCTTCTCATAACATGGCCAAAAAATGATGACTGTCTCCTTCTGATATCTGTGGTAAGTTGTCTTCGGGCTCCCGCCTCTTTCAAAACCTCTTGGTTGCTCTTTCTGGCTGTCCAAGGTATTCTAAGCATTCTTCTGTGAAACCACATCTCTGAGGCCTCTAGAAATTGTTTGGCTTGCCAACCGATTGTCCAGGATTCACTTGTGAACATTAGACATATAAATTACAATAATAGAGGACAAGAAATTGTCTGAAACTTCAGACATCAAACACTTTATCAAGAATCTTTATTCTTAGATAAAGCTGACAGTTCAACCTTGTTATTTAGACACACATATCTCCTTGTAACTCCTCGCAGTGCCATTCTTCTCGGACCGCAATGATCTATATGTTCTTCGGCAATGTTCACTTGCTTCCAAAGGGCCCTCACAACATCCAGCTTTTCATACATTAGTTCACCACTAAGTGGTGCAGAACCGGTCAGTTTATCTGACTGCTCTTTTCCTAACACACCGGCATAAGAAAATATCCAAAGGATGCTAACTACCCGGGACCTTTAAAGTGATGCTTGCATCAGTTCTTTCTTTTAAAGAAAATGCCAGGTATAGATATTATTCGTTTCACACTGCCCAAAAGCATGTCGTAAGAGTCGACTAAATGGGGAGCTTCCTTTGAAGTCGGAGTGCATCTGCCGGAGAGGCAAGGAACCAACAGTCTGTATTCAAGAGAATGAGATCTGTAAAACTGATGCACACGCAATACTCTGGTTCTGGAGCAGGACTGCAGTTCAGTAGTGGACGAGCAACCAGAACTTTCTGCCAGAGTTTACAGCTGGTCAGCGCGAAGAAGAACTAGCATACTGGTTGTAAACAAAAGCCCTCCTTGCTAAACTCCGCCCATGTCTAGTCATCCTTACTTTTGTTTAGTAGCAGCAGTGGTCTAGTGTCTAGACGCCGTCTTGTCGGCCTGCAGGTTAGAAACCTCACCGGACGGGTTTGAACATAAATTAGAGATCGGCTCCCAAGCCGACCTTGTGGGATGTTAATCACATCATCTAGTGTGTGTGTACGCAATGGTACCTAGTACAGGCACCTTTGTATGCATCATGTGTGTGTGTGTGTGTGTATGTGTTTTTTTTTTTTCTCACTAGCACAACTGTAATAGACACTTTGTAGTGGGTACTGGCACCCTTTTAGACACATTTTAGTCAGTTATAAAAGTTTGTCTCGTATCCTTTACAAATTAAACAAGTAACAGAAAGTGTATTGATCGGCACTCATAGAAAGAAGTAGAAAGATAGAAGAACACACTAGACAACAGAAAAACGAAAGCTATAGTTACCGTGCCGGGAATCAAACCTGTCACCTCCAGACGACATGTGCGCCTCGCCATGGAAACAAGTGCACTAAGAACATTGTGAACTAGGCACACCCCCTCCCCCCCCCCCCCCCCCCCCCCAAGGTGTCTTATTGACCATGTCTATCGTACAGCTTGAAAATCCACAACTATGGAATACGGACAGAATTCATTTCAAATCAATGAAATGGCACCATAGGCTACAGAAATGTATGTTAACGAAGCATATGTCGAATAACACTCACAGCAACAATTTACGAACACAGTAGACCTTAATGCTTTGTCTAGATTACACAAACAATTAGGAAAGGTATTTGATTGGTAGCTTCCCGTTTGTATACGTCATTCCTATAAATATACAGAAGGGGAACCTTTGAGGTCGTTAAATATTATGAATTAAACAAGTAACAGAAAGTGTATTGATCGGCACTCATTGAAAGAAGTAGAAAGGTATATAGGAATGAGGTTTCCTTTACAGGACGTTGCAGAACCAACCCCAGCATTTATCGGCTGTTGAAGTTTTTATGGGCAAATTTTACGTTCAGTAGTTTGTCATTGCTCACTGGACGGTCAGCTCTTACCACTGTCGAATCCATGTCAAGACATATCGTCCACAGCAGGGAATGAACCCGGCACTCCGGCGTTACGAAGCGTGTTCGCAACGTGTGAGACACTGACGCCGACTTTTAATGAGTGGGGGGTCGGGGGAGGGGGAGCCCTGACATCATCTAACCAGTGTCATTTGTTCCATTTAAAAACTAATCTAGTATTGTATGCCCGATATGCTACTGGAGTGAAATGGGTCCTTTACTTCCCTCTCCACTTGTTGCTAATTCATTTTCCGGGAAAAGAGCGCATACAGTCTGAAAAGTTTGAAAACGCTTGCTTTACCCTTCAGTGCCTCCGATTTGATTGCAGAATGTAAACAGTTTGTGACGTCGATTTGATTTCAGATTTTACCCGGAAGTGAAGTTCTCTAAGGACGCTTTTCGGTGACAATTGTTGCAGAATTCCGAGCAGATTTCTTCCTACAATACGGTTGTCTAAATGGCAGGCCTGGTATTAAATGTTGGCATTGGCTTATTCATCCTTGCCTTCATCTGGATCTTGGCTCTGATAATATGTCTTGCTTTTTCCAAGTCCCCAACAAAAATTGCGTAAGAAACTGTTCTTGAACTTCAAGTTCAATCTTCTAAACATTTGTTTGAGTTTAGCGTGCTTATCAGCCCTTATCAGTTTTACTTTTACAATCTGGAATACTAACTCTTGGTTACTCGGTCCCACGGGCAGAAAGATGCACGCAGACTTCGAAAAAAAAACGTGCTGCAGTTTAATTGTATTTTTAATTTAATAATTTATTAATGTCATTAGAAACCCTGGCCCACTACACATACATGTGAATGGCTCTGGTCTGAATCAGGTTAGGCAGTTTAAATATATAAGAAGTATGATCACAGAAGATGGTAGAATTGACAGAGAAATAAAAACCAGATGTCAGAAAGCAAATGCATTTATATACCAATTGTCACCATTATTTAGACATCCAAGCATAATTATGAGTGCAAGGAGACAGATTATTTATAGCATATTCATTTCATTATTAGGCTACTAGTGCCAAACATGGACACTATCTAAAAGCCCATATACGCAAAGTCACCACCTGCAAGATGAGGTGCCTGAGAAAAGCGGCAGTCAACCTAACCATCCAAGATCAAGTGAATAATGATACTATCAGACAATTTTTAAAACAACAACTTATACTAGATTCATCAAGAAATAGCAGATCAAGTGGTTTGGCCATCTCATTAGAATGCAGCAAGATCAAATACCATCACAAGCACTACATCTCAGAAGATCAGCTACAAGAACAAGAGGACTGCCGTAGAAAATATGGATGGTCAACATTAAAAACACTCTACGCCTTAACGCCATGACAATAGCCAGTGGCAGCTGGTGTGCACTGGATCGCAAATTATTCCTCCCAAGTCGCTTAATGGCAAAAGTGGTTTATGATGATGATGATTAATGATTTTTTTAATATGTATAATATTTTTATTTCTACTTAATTAACATTATAATTTTTAAATTTTTTTTTTCAGTTTAACAAATTCTATAGAAGATAGAAATTAAAGTGTGTGCGTGCATGCATGCACAAAAGGGGGGAGGGAATAGCCATGAGACAAATTTGAAGAAAAAAGCTGGTGACTAAAATAGAATGAAAGTCTGGCATCACAATATGTGGCTGATTTAAATATTATATATTAAAAAAATAAGAAAAAGACAGTCACTGTTCTTTGGCCACATAATAAGAAGAGACACATTTGAGAAAATTGTTACAACTGGAAAGATCAGTGGGAAAAGGGGTAGAGGCAGACCAAGAGAGATAATGTTGGATGGGCTGAAATGATGGCATGGACGGATATCATCAAGAGAGCTGATCCAGGCAACCAGGAATTGTGATCTGTGGAGACACGTAAGCGCCTATGTCAGTTGGCAGGGCACATGATAATGATGGTGGTGATGATGATATATCAAAAGTAAATGGATACAGACGTGAGAGAAGGCTATGGACACACAAGATGACCACCTGCACATGGTGTAGAATTTAAGAGGTATTTTGTGCCAGGCAACACAGAATGCAGTCTGTGCATATATCTCTGAGGGGTGTCTGACCGAACAGTCAACAGTGCTGGGCTGTCATGCTGGAGACCCTAGTTTAAATCCTCAATAAGGTTGTGGAATTTTTGATCATGTTTTGTTGTTGTTTGCAAGCAAAAATAAAATCAAAATCTGAACAGTCTGTGTCTTAGCCATGCTGCCCTAACTTTGTTGTTTGAACAAGGATCAACATCATGGCACACGGGTAGTAACCTGTAAGTGCTCCGTTCTTCTTCCAACTCAAGTCTGAGTCTGAAGAAGCTCAGCACAGTGCACAGACTGTGTAGCTTTTAACTCCAAATGTTGCCTGAACAGCGCTGTTAGGCTACTGTTTTCGATTTCCAACTGCCAAGGGATTTTTTTACGTTCACAACAATGCACATAAGCATTCGATCTCACTACCCAGAGACCAGGGAGAATTACTACAAGTCCAAGTCTACGTGAAAAATCCCTGCCCTTTATGGGGATTAAACCCGGAACCTCTAGCACTCGAGGCAGACACCATGCCTAGAGACCACGCAGCCCCCATGCTGCCCTAGTATCTCTAGCTCAAAGACCCCCTTTACTTTTTCCGCAGCCTACACTAAAAAAGTGTTGAATACAGGCAAAAATGTCATACACCTCTTTTGGTTAAGATTTTTATTATCAAGTACAAAGTATGGGTAATTAGCAACCTTTCGATATTCTATCTAGGTTTATGTCTGTGTGTTGGGAAATGAGCAGGCAGATAGACTGGCTGACTGTGCACCACTTGGTGGGGAATTGATGTATGACAAGTTAGATATTGTGAGGGCCCTTGGGAAGCGTTTAAACAGTGCGGAAGCGCAGACAGATCATTACAGTCTAAGGAGAATGGCGCTGCGAGGGGTTACCATGGGATCTAGCCGACGCTCAACACTCAGGGGAAGTATACTGTATAAGACGGACATACAATCAGACAGTTACTGCTACCATTGGAATTGAAATTCTTCGCTTTCTGCTGAAGATGGGAATTGAGCAGTTATGGGAGTGTCCTTAGTGCTATGATGTCGATTCTTAATTCAACATTCAACATTTAACACTTTATTTAAGATTTATTTAATTTATGCAGACACAAACACTTCATTGCACAGTTGATAGCCTGGCATGTTTTGCTGTATCTCATCAGGTGCGTTGCTATGGAGTTAAAACCACACAACTAAATGTTTTCACTGAAATACACAAATCACATTGTCAAGTTACACGGTTCATCTTTCTGCCACAAATTCAAGATTAACCATGAGATTAACATGGTAACTAAAAATTGATTACTTTATTCATCTGTAAATTATCTTTTGTTTAACATTTGCTTTGTTTTTTCAGATCACTGGGTCCCTTTTCTATCATAGCTGCAATCATCATTTCAATCATTTTGATTTTTATACCTCGAGATAGTCAGTTCCCATCACCTGAAGAACAAAGCATGGTATGTAGATGTTTGTCCTCACAAACCCACACATTCACACACTTACACACACAGACATATACACACGCCCGTCGATATAGTCAGCAAGTGATGTTATTACAGCCTCACAGTCACAGAACATGCTGAAAAAGTGGAAACTGGCATGCTCTGTAAAGAGTGGCAAGCATCACTTCAGAGGTTACAAGTAGTTATTTTCCTTTGGATTTTTCCTTTAGATTATCCTGGTGTCTAGGGAAACTAACACGCAGACAGATTGGCTGGTTCTATATCACTTGATGGTGATTAATCCATGACTAGCATCTTGTAATGGGCATATCTTATGCACGGGAAGAAATACAGTATCATAATTATTGTCAGGAACAGAGTGGAGTGTAGTAACAATTTTCAGAGTCGAGCGTTAACTTAAAGAGGGTTGGTTAACTCTGCCAGCCCCAGTCAGTTGTTAGTTTAACTCATTCTGTCAGCAACCATTGCTACTTTAAAGAAAGAAATGTTGGATTCAAGTGATAATCAGTGATAAGCCTATTGGCCAGAGATATTTTCCCTTTGGCATTGCAGCCTGAAATAAATGGACAAACGAGCAAACAAACTTTATTTTCAAAGGGTCACAAATGGAGCATGCAGACCCATCTTACATTCAGCCTTTCTAAACACTCATACAGCAATTATATTTTAATTCGAAAACCTGTTATGTTCATAGCAAAGTAGTATACATAATATGAAAAAAGGTAAAGGTTTTACCTTTACATAATATGAATATAAAATACAAATACAAAAGCTTGAATGATTTATTCATACTCGCACACACACACACAACACAAGCACGCATGCACACACACACCAAACAGCTAATTTTTGGATGTGAATCCAGCAGGAGAAAATCTTAGAAATCCTGTTTAATCATATTCCTCTTTTATTCTTAGCATTCACCAGCTGTAAACTACAGCGGATGGTGCTCGTTGTTCATCTACTTTGAGAATTTGGTTTTGTTCCGGGACTTTTAAGTGCACATCCGTTTTACACCTGGCTTGTTTTTATGCAGACTTTTGGTTTCTCGCCTCAGGCAGGTGCAGTCCCATTTCTGAAGAAACAGTCCTAATTAGTCTGTTTTTTAAGCATGGTTGTTGGTGGTGGAGAAGACCCCCCCCCCCCCCCACCTGGGAGTGTTTTGCACCCCCCCCCCCACCCCTTGAGTACTTTGCTCTATACCCCCCAACATAACAAAACATGATTAAGAGGAGGGCAATAGATTCCGCAACCATGGAAACAGACAGTATGGAGATACGTTTTGGTCAGAATGTGTTCTTAATCTATAAATAAATACCTGTGTTATCATATTGTCAGAGATTTGTAACTTAAGATATACAAACTAATTGTGAACACACACCAAAAAAACCTCATTGGCCTTTTGTTTCAAAAATAATTATTAAAAATATGTTATTATTTTATTTATAATTAATAGACTGAAAAAAATGTAACAGATTATTACAGACATAAATGCAATCATTTTTAAAATTGCTTAAGACCCCCCCACCCCCCCCTGGCGCCCCCCCAACCCGCCCCCTCCCCCCCCCCCCCCCCCCCCCCCCCCCCCGCCCCCCCCCCCCCCCCCCCCCCCCCCCCCCCCCCCCCCCCCCCCCTGCCCCCCCCCCCCACCCCCCCCCCCCCCCCCCCCCCCCTCCCCTTAAAAGACAAGATTGACCAGCAAGACCAGCTCTCGTTAAGAAGAATTTTCCCATTGACTAGCAAGACCAGCTCTCGTTAAGAAGAATTTTCCACAATAAGTCATGAGATTTCAAGATGTTATCAGATACTGAACAGGTTAACACAACAACTATATAAGACTAAAAAATTAATTATTATTTTTAAACTTTTCTCAAGCTGTATAATTGTTTTACAACTTTTCTCAGTCTGTATCTGTGTCTTTTTGTCGACAGGTTTATGATTACAGCATTGTTTATCGCTCCGGCCTGATTGCGGTTATGGCATTTTTTGTTGTGGTGGGTCTCGCAATATTTTTGGTGAACCATGCAATGCAGCCAGTTCAGGCCCAGCCTCTGCGCAAGTTTCTCCGGTAGCAGATGCTGTAGCTTCCAGTTCATTAGTTTGCATTTTGTTTTTCATAATGGCAATCATCCCATGAATTTAAAGTATTCTTCTACTTCCTTTTCTCCTCCTTTACCGCCTCCTTTTCTCCTCCTCCTTTTTCTCTTCTTTTCTCATTCTTCTCCTCATTCTTCTTTTTTTTTCAGTCTTTCCTGTCCCATTGGAGCAGATTCTCAGCCAACTCAATCCAAACCCTTTATAAACCTTTCATTGTTAACTGGATTTTACTGAAGAGATGTAAGACAGTCAAACTTACCTTGTGCCTTTTTAATCTGCATAGAATGTACAAGTAATCAAGTCCTGATGCTTTTGACACAGTTTAGGGATGCATTTTCATTACTGCCAGCTGATGTCAGAAAGGTAGTTCTTTAAGCTTTATAGAATCGATCCTGACTCTTTGGGCTGCGGCTCTCCTATGTCTATGCTTTCTTCTCTCTGTGATGAGTTACCAGGGGATCTGGCCGATGCTCAACACTCAAGGGGAAGGCGAGACGGATGTACAGTCAGACAGTTACTGGAGACTTTGGAATTGGAACTCTTCATTTGCTGCTGAAGATGGGGTGGAGCACTTATGGGAGTTTCTGCGTAGAATCATCATCAGGGAAGGATTAACCATGGGCCTAATAAACATCCAAGACCTAACACAGGTGGCAACGAACCGCCAGACATGGAGAGCTTTGACCTCTGCCCTATACACCGCCTTAAGCTCAAGAGGAAGGACTAACTAACTAACTAATGTATGTGTCCTGAAAGAAATTATCTTACAAAGAGACTGGATACTCACATCAGTAGGAAGCAGGGGGTCTCCGTGGTGAAGCGGTCAAGCCGCTTGCCTTGTGCTCTGAAAGTCATGGGTTCATTTCACGGCGGGGCGATTCAGTTCACAAGTGCAATTGTTAGGGAGATCCCTGGAGACTGTTGCTGGAGGTATGGAGGCCATGCTCTGTGTGACGTTCTCAGCAGGCAGCTAGCTTTTCTGCAGAGAGAGAGACTGAGCCATATGGGATAAAACCCAGTGCAATGAAGTCGTTCCTCTCACCTTGACGTATACGTATCAGTACAAAGCAAACCATATTCTTTTGTCTTTGTCTCTTCTGTTTCCCTCGTGTGTCTATTGTATTTCTTGTTTGTTTGTTATCTTTAAGCATTCATAAAGTGCAAAGTATGTATTTGTGTAGATGAATATTTGTATATTTTTTAATAAAATCCGTCCAGTATTTATTCAATCAGATGCTCTTACTTTGTTATTTATTTGCTACTGCAGTCTCTCTCATTATAGCACTGTCATCTGTTATTTGTATACTGAAATCTGTCAGTATCAACCTGTTGTCTTTTATTCTGCCTCTTTTTTCTGCTTTTACCTTCAAAAGAGCAGTTGGTGCATGATGTTGTGGTTTACAGCTAGGCTGTGATGTATGTCAGCCCATTTGAATTTAGCAAGCCCCTAATTAGTCATATTTTATAAGATGCATGGGGGATGGGCAGTAGGTCTCCCTCGCTCCCCCTCCCTTTTTTTATCCTGCTGCTACAGGAATTTTGTACTTGTACTGTAATCTTTTATTATCAACCTTCAGTCTTTTTTTTTCTTATACAATGAAAAGATCTCTGACTTTATGATGATGGTATCAGGAAGTGGCTAGTTCTGCACCACTTAGCGGGGTATTGATGTATGACAAACTAGATGCTGTAAGTGACCTTTGGTAGAGAGTGAACAGTGCAGAGATCATTATGGTGTGAGGAGAATGGTACATTGTAATCTGTCATTATCAACCTTTAATGTTTTGTTCTGGTACTGTACTCTGTCTTTATCAACCTTCAGTCTTTTGTTCTGGTACTGTAATCTGTCATTATCAACCTTTAATCTTTTATTTTTATACTGTAGTCTTTCATTATCAACCTTTATCTAGTATTCTTGTATGTCATTATCAGCCTTTAATCTTGTACTCTTATACTGTAGTTTGTCATTATCAACCTTTAATCTTTTATTCTTGTACTGTCATATTTCATTAACAACCTTCAATCTTTTGTTCTTGTACTATAATATGTAATTGTAATCTTTAATCTGTTGTTCTGTAATCTGTCATAATCAACTTTAATCTTTTTTTTTCTTGTACTGTAATCTTTCATTATCAATCTTTAATCTTCTATTCTTGTACTGTAATCTTTCTTTATCAACCTTTAATCTTGTATTCTTGTACTGTAATCTTTCATTATCAATATTTAATCTTCTATTCTTGTACTGTAATCTTTCATTATCAATCTTTAATCTTCTATTCTTGTACTGTAGTCTTTCATTATCAACCTTTAATCTTCTATTCTTGTACTGTAGTCTTTCATTATCCACCTTTAATCTTCTGTTTGTGTACTGTAGTCTTTCATTATCAACCTTTGATCTGCTATTCTTGTACTGTAGTCTTTCATTATTGTACATTGGTCATCCTTTATCATACTATAATCTTTCATTTTGATACTGTAGTTTTTTATTCTCACACTGTACTCTTTCAATTGTCTTTTGATCATGAATTGTAAACTTTCAATCTTGTACTGTAGTCTTTCTTTGTCATATTGAAGTCTTTCATTCTCATACTGTAGTCTTTCATGGGGGCTGATTGGTTTTGAGGTATGGTGTCCACCTCAATTGCTGGAGGTCCTGAGTGAAGGCTGCGATTTTTTCATGTGGATTTCAAGTAATTTACCCTGGTCTCTGGGTAGTTAGATTGGACACCTGTGTGTATTGTTGCGCTTGTAAAAAAAAAATCCCTTGGCAGTTTGAAATTTTTAAAAAAAGCTAAGATCCTGCACAGGCAAAATTTAGAGTTAAAAATCTACCCAAAATATTCCAGGATTCTCGCCGGTGCTAGGGAGTTCGTGCACTGTGATGAGTCTCTTCAGACACGCTTAAGCTGAGCACTTATGTGTTACTACGCTTGTGCCATAATGTTGATCTGTTGTATAAAACCAAACCAAACTGTAGTCTTTCATTCTCTATATTGTAATCTTTAATTCTCTATATTGTAGTCTTTCATTGTCATTGTCCATACTGCAGTCCTTTATTCTCTCTATTTTGGACTTCATTTTCGTACTATAATCTTTCATTCTCATACTGTAGTCTTTCATTCCCTCTATTATGGTCTTTCATTCTCATACTGTAATCTTTCATTCTCATACTGTAGTCTTTCATTCACTCTGTTGTGATCTTTCATTTTCATACTGTAATCTTTCATTCTCTCTATTGGGGTCTTTCATTCTCATACTGTAAACTTTTATTCTCATACTGTTGTCTTTCATTCTTTCTATTGTAATCTTTCATTTTCTCTATTGTGGTCATTCATTTTCATACTGTAATATTTCATTCTCTCTATTGTGGTCTTTTGTTTTCATACTGTATTTTTTCAATAATGGGAAGACAGAAGTAATGGTGGTATAAAAGAAACGAATTATTCCTAAGTGTGTAATAAAGGTTGATGGTGTTATTTAAGGACAAGTACAGAAATTTAAGTATCTGGGCACATGGATAACATCAGATGGAAGGTGCATAACGGAGATAAGAAATAGAATAGGACAGTCAAAAACTGCATTTTATAAAATGAAAAACATCTTGTGCAATATATCCTTGTCACTGTGAGTTAGAAAAAGAATTCTTGCTTGCTACATACATCCAGTTTTAACATATGGCTGTGAATCCTGGACAATCGATAGGCAGGCCAAACAATTTCTGGAGGTCTCGGAGATGTGGTTTTACAGAAGAATGCTTAGAATACCTTGGACAGCCAAAAAGAGCAACCAAGAGGTTTTGAAAGAGGCGAGAGCCCGAAGACAACTTATCACAGACATCAGAAGGAGACAGTCATCATTTTTCGGCCATGTTATGAGAAGAGGGAAAATATAATATGTTGTGACCACTGGAAAGATATGTTGAAGGAGAGATAGGAGGAAGCCAACGAGAGAAGATGCTTGACAGTCTTGTTGCATGGCATGGAGGTGTGTCGGCACACGAACTGATACATGCTGCAGGAGATCGCAGATTGTGGAGAGGCATGATCGCCCGCGCCAGTCGGCAAGGCACCTGATGATGATGATTCTTTTAATCTCTCTATTGTGGTATTTCAATCTCATACTGTAATCTTTAATTCTCTCTATTGTGGTTTTTCATTCTCCACACTGTGGTGTTTCATTCTCATACCGTAAGTCTGTTTTTCTCGTATCTTTGTCTTCTTAGAGTTCAAGTCTAAGTTTATCAGCCTGAAAGCAACCAACAATCTGATAATACAAGCCAGATATGTGAAACAGATGTGCACGCAAAAGTCCATTTCTGGCACAAGATTAAAAGAAGTCCAGTTCATTCATTCATTCATTCAGTAGCATGTCCCTCGCGGAACCTCGCTGCCATAACAACCCTCCGGAAAACCTTCCTATCATGAGCAAGATGTCCTGCGTCTGATACACCCATTTGGAGATCATCTGCCACATCCTGCACCCATCTTCTCCTTGGCCTTCCTCTTCCTCTCTTCTCAGGCATATAACCCTCCATTATTGTTCTCTCTAGACTTCCATGACGTTTCAAGTGACCAAAATATTTCAATTTTCTTTGTTTTATTGTCTTTACTAGCCAACCCTCTTCAATATTCAGCTCTTGAAGTATGGATGCATTTGTTCTTTTCTTGACCCAAGATATTCTTAGAACCTGTCTGTAAAATTTATATTCAAATGCATTTATGCACTGTTCCGCTTGTTTAGTAAGTGTCCAGGTCTCACAGGCGTATGTTGCAATGGGAAAGATGCATGCTCTTAAAAATCTGACCTTTGTAATTCTATCTGTACAATTCCATAATTTATTCAGTTGTTTTAGTCTTTGAAGAGCAATTGATAGTCGCCGTAGTGAAGCCCAGTAGTGGACTAAAAACCAAAACTTTCCTCCGAAGTTTACAGCCGGTGATCGTCAAGAAGCATAACAAATGCTGTTTCCTCGACA